CGCGGCGGCGGCGGCGGCAGCAGCGGGAGCCCCCGGCGATGCCCGCGCTGCTCCCGCCGCTGGCCGCCCCCTGAAGACACCCCTCTCTATTGCCTCCCTTCTCCAGCGACCTCAGGCTCTGCGCCCCCTTTTCCCCTTTCCTTCCTTCCCCCCTTCCCTTTATTCCCTCCCCCCCCTCCCTTCCCAGCCTCTTTATCCTCCTTTCCTTGAGACCCTCCGCACCCGCCCGGCTGCCGTGTGGATGCGGGCCGGGGTGCCTGGCTGCGCGGGCGGCGAGAGCCGATGCTGAGGGGCCGGAGGAGGATGGAGTGCACCCTCGATGCGCAGAGTTTGATCAGTATTTCCCTGCGGAAGATCCACAGCTCCCGCACGCAGCGAGGCGGCATCAAGCTCCACAAGAACCTGCTCGTCTCCTATGTGCTCCGCAACGCCCGGCAGCTCTACCTGAGCGAGCGCTACGCCGAGCTCTACCGCCGCCAGCAGCAGCACTACCCCGACGGCGCCCCGCTCCTCGCCATGCCCGCCTGCCCGCCGCCCGCCGCCGCCGCCCCGCCGGAGCTGGCGGCGCTCCCGCTGCCCGCCGACACGCAGGACCGCGAGGCGCGGAGCTGCGGGGCTGCGCGGGGCGGCGCGGAGCTGCTGGAGGTGCCGGTGTGCGCGGCGCCCCCGGAGCTGCAGAGAGCGCCCTGCAGAGACTCGTCCCCGGGCTTCTACCGGGCCCCCGGCAGCGCCGGTCCCGGTGGCGGAGGCGCGGCCCCGGGGCTGCTCTACGCCGCCGGCTGTGACTTCGGGAGCGGCGGGGCCCCGCACTGTAGCAGCCGCACCACGGTGCTGGATTTGGACACTCACGTCGTGACCACGGTGGAGAACGGGTACTTGCACCAGGACTGCTGCTCGCAGTGCCCCTGCTGCTGCCAGCCGGCACCGGGGCTCGCCTCCCCGCCGCCCGCGCCCGGCACCAAGCGCAAGTATTACCCGGGGCAGGAGGAGGAAGAGGAGGGGGTGGAGGAAGGGGAGCCGGGGGGAGGCGGGGTGGCGGGCGGCCCCCCCTTCGCCCCGTGCACCAAACGCGCCCGCTTCGAGGAGTACAGCGCCGAGCACCCCCAGGACTCTTCCAACATCTCCAACTTGATCTCCATCTTCGGCTCCGGTTTCACGGGGCTGGTGAGCCGGCAGCAGGCGGACTCGGAGCAGCCCCTCAACGGGCAGCTGTGCAGCAAGCAGGCGCTGGCGAGCCTGGGAGCCTGGACTCGGGCCATCGTCGCGTTTTAGAGAGGAGCGGAGGAGCAGAGGGGGCGGGGGGGGTCTTGGCAAAACGGGGGTGCGATCCGAGGAACGGCGGCTCCGGAGGGGGGACCCTGAAACA